TTTGGCAGCTAAATCAAGAGGTGTCCGATTCATACTATCTTTAAGATAAACGTTGGACCCTTTGCTGATGAGAACGTCAGCAACATCCTGGCGACCTGGAAAATAACATAGGTCAATGAAAAAGACCAAGCAAATTTCGTATTTCGTGAAAATAATTATTTAACATTACCATCTCTAGCAGCAAAATGAAGAGCTGTCATTTTCCAATTATTTGGATTATCAACTTTTGCTTTTTTACTGAGGAGAAATTCAACGATGTTTTTATGTCCTGAAAAAAAAATACAGATCGATGAAAAAGATCAAACCAATTTCGTATTTCGTGAAAATGATTATTCAACATTACCTTCCATAGCAGCATAAGAGAGAGGCGTTGTTCCGAAACCATTTCTAACATCAACTTCGGCTTTCTTACTGATGAGTTTTTTAACTTCTGCCAAATCACCTGAAAAATAATTTAGATCATTAAAATAGTTTGAACAAAACATTTTTAAATATACTAGTAAATGCTCCAAATTACCAGACTCAGCAGCTTTATGCAAAGGTGTATCTCCTCTAAGGTCTTTTGTGTTTACTAAAAATTGAAAAAAAAATAGATCAGTGAAAATGTCTTGTGTCCGTGTGATGAGCTTTTCCACACATTATTGTCGAAAATGATTGGAAAATTGAACGTTTCGCTATTCAGAGGCTGGCTCTCTTCGATTTCGCAGAAAAAATTGAATGAAATAGAGATATGTCAAAAATCCAAAGAAAATACTGAATACAAGCCGCTTTAAACAATCATAAATGCCAGAATTGAAACAAGTATGTATTCATATTATATCTACTCCATAGATAAAACGGTGATTTGTATATGGAATTTGAGAGTGAAACTTGATAAAGAAATGGAGCTTCAATCTTACCTTCAGGGTATTCTGCATTCTCCTCACCGTTTTTCTTTGCGAGACTGTTAATTGCTTTGATTCGGTCTTTTACTGAAACAGACGGTTTGATTGCATCATGATGACCATTATTCTTCTTTCCGGGTGGTGCTTCTCCACTCACATCCACGATTAAGAACTGTGAAAATAAAACAAAGTGATTGAATTGGATTGGGAACAATGGATGAGATTGGAATGATTTTCAACTGTTTTTCATTCGAAAAAAAGTGTCCGACGGACACCGTTCTTGGAATGGACGATTGTTTTTTTTCTTTGATTTAGACAATTTCAACATGGATACTGCTCAATAATGAAATTAGTTTAGAAAAAACTATCTTAAATTTTCGGCTGAATCAAATGACAAAAAATATGACTGAAATTTTCCACTTACCATGGATACGCTTAAGCCAATGAGTAGCAGTGTAAAAGAATTTCGACTCAGCATTTTTCTAGCTTCGAACTAACAAAAGTTTACTGTGAACGTATCAATTGTTCGGAATTGACGAACTCTTTGATGGGCATACGAATCGAACGCAACTTTTTATACACTTTTCAAATATGGTCACATTAGT